CCTGTATCCCAGAGTCCTGTTGTTCCAAGGTTGTGCAAACGTCATTATTTACCTCTGTCCCACTTGTTGTTAAGTGCTGTCAAGTCGATTCCGACCCATAGCGATCCTGCATAGGGTTTCCAAGGAGCAGCTGGTGAGCTTGAACCGCCGATCTTGCAATTCAACTGTTTGCAGTCTGGCGCATTAACCCACAGCACCACACCATGCAAACTTGCCTAATTGTTTTCCCATCCTCCTTGTTCTTCCATTCCCCTCCCCCTTCTTGTGTATTGCCCCCCTCCCTAGCACCCAGATTATCCTGTGTGTATTCCCTACCCTGTGCTCCACCTCCCCTCCCCCCCCTCCCCACATCCTGGTAACCAGCAAAGAATCTCCTTCCCCCCCTTTAGTAAGGAGCTGTGGTAATGTAGTGGTTATGAATCGGGCTGCGAACCTCAAAGTCAGCAGCTCGAAACTACCAGCTGTTGCGCGGGAGAAAGATGAGGCGTTCTGCTCCTGTAAAGATTTACAGCCTTGAAAACCCTGTAGAGGGTCGCTATGAATCAGAACGGACTCCACGGCACATAATCCCCCCCTCCTCCCCCCTCCCTATTTAGTATGGGGTTTTTTTCTTAGTCTTTACAGTAGTGGTCTTATGTAGTATTTTTCCTTTCGCTATTGTCCTGGTGTGGCGCTGTGGGTTAATGCGCCAAGACTGCAAAGCCATTTGAATAGCAGCTCACCAGCTGCTCCTCAGAAACCCTATACAGGGTCGCTATGGGTTGGAACCGACTTGATGGCACTAACAACAACAACAACAAATTTCACTCAACATAATGTCTGCCCTTGAGTTTCATCCACGTTATGTGATAGCTTACTTGTTCTTCAAGGTAGCATAATATTCCATTGTATGTATGTACCACAGTTTGTTTATCCATTCTTCAGTTGATAGGCACATAGGCTGTCTCTTTTTGCTATTGTAAATAATGCTGCTGTGAACATTAGTGTGCATATATCTACTCATGTTATGGCACGTATTTCTTGTGGGTAAATAAATACCAAGTAGAGGAATTACTGGATCATAAGGTAATTTCTATTTCCAATCTTCTGAGGAAGCGCCATATTGCTTTCCAGAGAGGTTGGACCATTTTGCAATCCCACCAGCAATGTAGGAGGGTCCCAGTCTCTCCATATCCTTGCCAGCATTTATTGTTCTCTCCTTTTTTGATCTTTGCTGTTATTGCTGGTGTGAGATGATGTCTCGTTGTTGTTTTGTGTGCTCAGCTCTCTTGAGCCTCCATTCTTGTTCTCCTTTATGTCTGTAATTTTAACTCTTAATGCTCTGATTCACTGAGTTTTTTCTTTTGCCTGATTAAATATATTGGTAAATTCCTTCTATTGTGTTTCTTTTTTCAGTTATTATTTCTTTCAGCTGCAATATTTCTTTTTCAGATTCTCATTTTGTCTTTATTGTTTTCCTTATTTCTCTTAGCTATTTGTCTGTTTTCCCATAATTCTGTAACTCAGTTTAAGGTTGTTGTGTTCTATTCTGTTTTTTTTTTTTTTTTCATTATTCCGTCATCCTTAGATGAACTTTTTTTTCATTCTCTTTGTCATGTTTATTTGGATGGGCCATTAGAGGGGCAGCATCTGACATCTTGTAATTTTACAAGGGGGAACAGAGAATCCAAATCAACAGCTCAAGGCCGATTTCTGTGAGTCAGAGGTCAGACATGCCTTCACTCTTCAACCTTTTTACCAATTTTGACACCAATTGTCCCTCCCACGACACTCTCTAATTCCGTGCTGGATTCAGTAATTTGTTGTAATGGTCACAGACAATATTCACAATTGTGTAGTTTATTAGGGAAGTAATAGGTTAAAATTCATGATCAGAAACAACTTAGGATATAGGTCTTCCGTCAGGACAGCTTCTTCCTAGCTGTGCCTATAGGCATAGCTCTCTCTGACTCTCAGCCTCTCTTGATCCCACAACTCCCTGGCCTCTGCTCTATAGTGAACAAGTGTTACAAAGTCCATTTAGAGGCAACCCACTCCTCCAGTAAACCTTGCTGTGGGGTCCAGGAAGCCCAGTGCTCTGCCCTGTGCAGGTGTTGTGGTTCTGCTGCCTCTGCGGCCATCATTTCTTGCTGTTGCTTCTCACCGTCTCCTGCTCTTTCCAGTGTCATAGCCATCTGTCTCCTGGATTAGGGAGGTGAAGTGCAGGGATCACAGGTCTTAAGAATGGGCTCCATTCCTGGCTCTTCTATCTTGATGGCAATTAGAGAACCCCCTTTTCTGCCTTTGGAATGGCTCATTTTAAGTGTAGGAGGATAGTGAAACCGATCATTCCCCATTGCTGCTGTTCATTGCTGTCTAGTTGGTACTGACTCATAGAGACCCTGTATACAGGTTCGTATAGGAGCAGAAAGTCTCATTTTTCTTCCATGGAGTGACTGGTGAGTTTGAACCACCGACCTTGTGGTTTGCAGTCCAGTGTGTATCCTAGAGAACCAGTGTGTTCCCTAGTCCCCATGTTAAGAGTACTCTATATATTATTTTCATTGCCCCACCCCCACAAGAGTGCCATGCACCTTATTACATCATCAGTAAACTGGCCAGTCTTCTTGGTGGTCCACAAGTAATTCTACTCATTTTGGAGACCTGGTGTGGCGCTGTAGGATAAGCACTGGACTGTTAACCACAAGGTCATACCCATTCATAGGGGCACTATGAATCGGAACTGACTCAGTGGCACTTAATATCAACCCAATTATTTGGTGATGGTGATTGTGTGCTGTGAAGTTGGTTCCCACTCATAGCGACCCTGCATCAGGTTTCCAAGGCATTAAATCTTTATGGAAGCAGAAAGGCTCATCTTTCTCCTGTGGAATGACTGGTAGTTTTCGAATTGCTGACTGTGAGGTTATCAGCCCAACTCATAACCACTATGCTACCAGAGCTCCTCCCCTCGACTCCTACTTCCTAACAGACAGCGGCCTCAGTCAACATTACTCAGTACTAGCTGGGCCTGGGGCAGACTTACCCTGCTTTACCCCCAGGGAGGTTTGTCCTGTTGACTTCAGAGGCCAGAACTATGGGGTGCACGTGGAGGCTGGTAGAGTGCTGGCTGTGGAAACAGATTCTACTGCAAGGCCCGTCTATAGCCAACCATAGCAGCCTTGCAGGTGACAATGTCCAGGTGCTGGCTGGCTGTGTGCCTGGAGTCAGTTCTGACTCACAGCGATCCTGTATAGGGCTTCTGAGGCTGTAAGTCTTTATGGGCGCAGGTAGCCTCATCTTTCTCCTTGCAGGGTGCCTAATGGATTTAAACTGCTGACCTTGTGGTTAGCAGCCCAGTGTGTAACCTACTACTCCACCAGGCCTCCTTGTGTCCTGGTGAGGGAGGGGCTATCATGCTCCAAACAGACCTTCAGGGAGGTCTTCCTTGGTGCTATCAGAGCCTCCCTGTAGTATGTTCGTGTGGGTGTAGCCTTTACTAAATGTTTGCATCTTTGCATGCATCTTAGCACCGATGGAAGCAGGAGCAGACAGACCTGAACTGACTCTCCAGGAGATCTGTCTGGTTGGTTTCAGAGGTCTGAGCCAGAGTAGAGAAGTAATTGATCTCTCCTACTTACCCTGAACACTATAAACCCTTCACACACTAAATTTTTTATTCAAGCCCATCACAGATATTGACTGATGCCCAGGTCATCTTTGTGAAGCAGGTACCAAGAAACTGAACCTCGAGAAGGTTGCTGGTTTGGAAGTCAGGGGCAGGCTGGTAGAGTGTTTTATGATGGGAGTAGATGCCACTTCCCGGGCGCTTCTGTTGCAGTTCACACTTGGCTTGCAGCAGGTGGAGGAGGTGCTAGCATACTCCCAATGGTCCTCCTGGGAGGCCTTTGTTAATTTTAGGGCAGACACTTGAGGTTCTGTCTCCTTATACAGGAAGGGGCTCTGGTGGTTAGAGAGGCGAACTTTTTTTCTAGAACTACACCCTAGTTGATAGTAGCTGGTGGCCCACTTGGCTGGGGAGAGACAGGGATGTGGGAGAAGTGATTTTCCTACTGTATGCAAGTCACTGTTGGTTCATGCCTGTCTGTAGGTCCCTGCTTCTTTCCTCTGTTACCCGATTCACAGTCCCTCAAAATTGAACAGTTTCCATATTGTATTTGTGGGGGAGGGTTGGAATGATGGTTTGTTTATACTGCCGCCTTCCCAGAATTCCATGTTGTCCTTTTATTTTTGGTTACAGCCACTTCTCTTTCCTGAATGGTTTATGGGGGCACCAGTTTAAATGCTTGAAATTATGTGCATTTAGCAAATTTTAAATTTTGGAAAGGCCATTTTGTTTAATCTATATAACTTGTTTCATTGCATTGAGTAAATCCTAGCAGGAAACATCAGCCCTGAAGAATCTTTTCAGTATCAAGACATGGGTAAAACAGGATTAGGAATGACAGCTGCCTTTCAATATCAGTTTGCTTCTGCAAACACCCTATTTTTCCTCTTGGCATATCTTTGGCCATTTGCTGCCTTTTAGGTTAGTAGAGGTGATAAAGGGCAGCCAAACACTATAATAATTCTTCCAGTTATTTGACTGGAGACATTTCATGCCCTAGTAAACTCCAAATGAGCACTGGGATAGAAATAGTTAGAACTGGGATAGAAGCCCAGGAAAAACTTAGCTCACTTCTCAACCCTGACTTCTCAATACCTTCCCGAGGCTCAGCTTCACAAAGATGGCCTGGGCATCAGTCAGTATCTGTGATGGGTGTGAATAAAACATTTAGTATGTGAAGGGTTTATAATGTCTAGGGTAGCAGGGGAGGACAGTCACTTTCTTGGCTTCTGATTTCTTGGGAAATGGGCTGAGTCTTTCAGAGGTTTCCTGTGGTGAGGGCTGGTGCACGTCTTCCAGCTGTGGAGCCTGTGAGGCTGATGCCAGCAGTGGGGGGCTGAGCCCAAGGCTGTCTTCCGAGAGCCTTCATGTGTCACCTCTCCTCTCTCTACAGGCCTTGAGCGACCGCTTCAGCGGTGAGATTCCTGATGACCAGATGGCACACAGCTCCTTTTTTCCAGATGAGTACTTCACCTGCTCCTCCTTGTGCCTCAGCTGTGGGTAAGTGAGGCCTGCCATCTCCTCTCCCTTGGGAAAAGGGGTGGAGAGTGGTGCTTTGCAGACTTGAATGTGCATGCAGAGCACCTGGGGTCTGCTTAGGTAACAGATTCACCTGGAAACCAGGCAAGTTGAAGGCCAAGATAGAATGCATTTCTCCGAGATCCCAAGTGATGCTGGTGGCTCAGGGACCTCCCTTTGAGTGACAAGGGCTTAGAGGACACCTGGTTATGAGGAATCTCTTGAAAACTCCAACCTGGTTGACATGTGAAGTTGACTGGCTTCTGGTTTGGGCCATTTTTATGGCAGAAAATTTTGGGTTGCCTGCTTTTCTGTGTTTCTTCTACCAGGACTTTCAAAACAATTATTTTTATCCGGCTGAGAATATACACAGCAAAATATACACCAATTTGGCAGCTGCTCCATGTGTACAATTCAGCGACACTGATTACATTCTTCAGGCTTCTCACCCTTCTTTTCTGAGTGTTCCTCTCTCATCACCATACACTCACTGTCCCCTAAGGTTCCTATCTAACGTTTGGAGATACTGTTGTTGGTTTGATTCTGTTGGAAGAGCATAATGCTGCTGTTAAGAGGATGCTGTCTCGAGGCATTCAGAATGGTCCAGTGTTTGACTTACTGTCACAGACTGCTCTGCAGTACAACCTGAAACAAAACGAGGCTGTCCCAAACGGCTGGTAACAGAATTGTTTACCAAGAAGGTTGATAAAGCACCAATGTGCACATATGGTGTGTGCCTGGACTGATTTCAAAGGGTCTGTACTGTGAGACTGGAGGTTTGACATGAGGTTGTCCAGAATGAAGAAGCATATCGGCTGGGCCTGTGAAGGCTCCTGATGTGCTAAATGGGCCCATGAGAGGACCAAGCAAGCTCTTTTTTTTTTCAAGGTTTTTATTGTTGATTGAGTGAAAGTTTATAGGGCACATCATCAGTTTCACATTCAACAATTCATATAACTTGTTTCATTACAATGATTATAATCCCTTCCATGTACCATCAGTTAAAAGTATTTCTCTCTATCCACTTTAGATTTTTAAAAAACACACAAACAAAAAAACCCACTCAGCCATATGTAATAATTTACATTTCCAACTGGCACATTCTGCAAGTTTGCTCCTGGCCACCAGTTCTTAGTCCTTCTCTTCTTAGTTGATGAATCTAGAGTCCTCAGCCACCACCACCCCCTCCATGTGTCCATCTATTTCTCCATCTCTGGCACTGCTGCTTCTCTGGATAAGGCCCCGCGTTCTATTTATGCGTTCCTCTCTTGATGGTCCTAGGGTCCTCTGTTTTTGGACTATAAGATTAACCACTCCCCTTTTTTTGTTACGCAAGCTCTCTCTTTTGAGGAGCAGGAAATAGTTGTGAAAGCGTGGAAGGTAATTTTTAAATTTTATTTTAAAAAGCTTTATTGAATAATCAAATGGCTTGTGCTATTTGAAAAAGAAAGAACATATTGCACAAGGCAGACATTTGTTATTAGTTAAGCTACAGTTTGGTTTGGTTTAAGAAGACTTTTAGGGATATTTTTGGTTTGCAGTATAATCTGGGTTTTCAGTTTATTCATAGTCCTTCAAGTTATTAAACTAATGTTTGAGTGCCCGCTGTGTGGAAAGTTCTGTTTTGTCACTGTCAGGACAAATGATTAGAGCACATTAGAATTATCCTGAGAGATTTACAAATTTCTGAGACCTGGGCCCACTTCCAGGAATTCTGATTTAATGAGTCTGGGTTCGGGTTTGAGCGTGTGTGTTTTTAAAAGATTCCTTCATTCTTTCTGATGTGTTGCCTGGGGAAGAGAACTTTGAGGTAGAGCAGTGCTTCTCAAACTTTAATCTGCATTGCACCACATTGCAATTTAATTAAAGTGAGGATTGTGTATCAGCAGGTCTGAGTGGTGCCCGAGTGAGGTTCCTGCATTTCTAACAGGTGCCCAGAGGATGTCTGTGGACCACACTGTGTACAGAGGGCCTAGAGCAATGATTCTCAGATGTTAGCATGCATCAAGAACACCTGTAGGGTTTGTTATGACAGCTTGCTGGGTCCTAGCCTCAGAGTTTCTGATTCAGAAATCTGAGGTAGGCTCCTCTGAGAATGTCCATTTCTAGTATGCTCCCAAATGATGCCGATGTTGCTGGTTAGGGACCACAGTTTGAGGACCACTGGATGGGCTTGAACCTTGTGTGCAGTGGCTGGCTCTGAAATCACAGTCTGATGGCTTGTGTGATCAACCCAGCAGTGTAAGTGCAGTGTGCCGCAGTCAGATGGCAGTTTCCAGGTTTGGTAATGCCATCTCCACTTCCCACAAAAATAAAACCAAAATATACACAAAAACCACTGAGTTATCTTCGCTCCCTTCAGGACCACTGCCCATGCCTCCATTTTTGCCCATCCAAAGGAGGAAAGCTGCACTTAATCCTGCTCTGACTGGCCTTTTGTTGTTGAACCTATAGGCCCCCTGCTGGGCACTGAACAGCCTCAGTTATGCTTGGTCAAAAGGACTGTGGTCAAAAGGACTCAGATTATACTCAGATTATACCATTTGTCCAGTGAAGCTTGGAATGGGGAAAGGGATGTGAGTTGACAGTATGACTTTGCTCATCCAGGTGTGCCGGGAGCCAGCCCCGGCAAATTTATTCCAGGGTTTTTCCCAAAGGCAGGTGCGGCGTCAGCGGAAAGAATTACATGGAGTCATTAAGTCATAATGAATTCAAAAATCTTCTTATTACATGCTTTATTCTTCTCTCATTCTTCACTCCCCTGCTCTCCTGCTTCTTTTCTCCCTTCCCCTGCTCCTGCTTTCATTCTCCTCCTGCTTTTTTAATCCCCTTCCATTTCTTTACTGCCCCCTCTCCTGCTTTCCCTCTCTAATCTTCTTCTTACATGCTTTATTATCCACTTATTCCTTCTTCTTCTCCTTCATTCTCCTTCTCCCCTCCTTCTACATTACTCTTTATTCTTTTTCCTTCCCCCACTACTTCCTTTATTCTCTACATTCCTTCTACTTCTTTTTCCTTCTACTTCCCATTATTCCCTTCACTACTCCTTACACTCCTTCTACATTACTCCTTTATCTTCTTCTTACCTCCTTTTCTTCCCCATTCTTCTTCTCTTCTTCCTTCATTCTTTTCTGTCTCCATTACTTCCTATTATTCTATCTTACAACCCCCTTATATACCGTCACAAAAAACATTGCTTTCATAGTAATCAATGTCTTCAAAATACAATCTATCCTGAGGCCCATTCTTCGTGGTTTACGACTCTTAGATTTACAACAGAGATGAAAAGTTACAGCAAAGAGACATTATATCTCAAGTCATACGAGACATTCTGGCGCCTTGAAACCTTTTAGTTAAACATTTGTTCCTACATAAATCTATTCTTGTCTCTGAGAAGCAAGTTAGCCTTCACATGTTTCTTAACCTTTGTCTGTTAAGTCTTGTTAATTTTAGTTGTTAGGTGCAATTAACTCTCCATTAACTTCTTCCATACACTATCTGTTTATAGCCTACAAAAACATCACTTATCAACATTTAAAAAACTGAGGCTATGAAAACAATTTCCCTATTTTACTGATCATTAATTTAAGAATGTCTAAGTCAGACTTTTTATTTAGTATCTGTATATACCCATATTCTTTATCTATAGTCTAATTGTTTTTAGGAATTCTTGTACCCACAGTCCTTATTTATGGCCTAGTTGCTTTTAGGGATTCTTTATTGCCTTAAACTAAGGCTACAAGGAAGAATATTTATAATCACTAAACCTAAGCTGGTAGTAATTCAATTGACAAATCCTGTCTCCTAGCAATCTTAGGAACATTGTTAATATAAGTATTAAAACTACCTAAGATTACAAGTAGATTAAAATGTAGCTAATATATGGCTTCTAACTTTTAATAAAATATACTGAAGTGTAGGAGAGTCGAAATCTGAAGTAAAGGATACTAATAAAATCATGAATAAATCAGAGAATGATTCAAAAAGAAAAAATTAACCAGGGACCTGTGCATAAAATATTTATTCCTTGTGGCTTTGCCATCCAAAGAAAAATAATTCATTGTTGCTCTGAAAAAACAATGAATTCTTCTATGCCCAGGTTTCCCCGTGTCTCATTTCTTTATTTTAATTCCTCAATTAATATGTCTCAATTTATTCATTTTAATTCCTTATTAATAAAGTTCCATATTATTATTATGGCCCCTGCCACAGGACTCTGTGGACTCTCATGGGTTTCCATTTTAATGGAGCCGTCAACATCTTTTCCTTTATTGCTGTGAAATTCTACAGTACTAGTCTCTGGTTTTGGATTTTTAGGATAGCCGAGTACACTGTTCATTTGGAAGGTTTCCTTGTTCAGCTTAAACCTTCCCCTAATGCATTGCCAAATTTAGGAAGTTGGTTTCTGTTTTGCATTTTGGCAGCCTGTTCTGGTTAAACTTCCCATTTCATTCCTGTTTGGATTTTGAGTTTCACAAGAGCCAGTCAGGTTTGATCTCTTGTCAAGTGGTTGGTGTCTTCTGGCTCCTCTCATCCGCCCCCCACAGTCCAAAAGTTGCTCTGCCTCTGTAGTGCTGCTCACTGCAAGGGAAACAGAGGCACAGGGGTTCCTGAGATGCATCAGAACTGGGCTTAGCATCCGGGCCCAGATCTGGTTTCAGACTCTGCTATGTAAGTGCTGTTGGCTCCTTTAGCTGCCTCATTGTTAGGTTTTGGTCTTCTCTCAGGGCTGGTTGTAAGAACAGCATGAACCATGGGAAGGAAGGAGTGCCTCATGAAGCCAAGAGCCGCTGCAGATACTCTCACCAGTATGACAACCGGGTTTATACCTGCAAGGTAAGCATACCTGCGCTTCAGCACTTGGCTTGCTGATTGCTCTCTCTCCTTCTGGAAACAAAGGTGTGGCCTGCCTCATGCTGCTTCTCGAAGTATTTGTTCAATTTTTGAACTCTAGAACTTGTTATCTAACAAAACCAATTCCCACATCTTCTTAGCTGGGGCCCCTTTGTTTTTTAATTCTTCTTATTATTTTCAGTTAATCTTTTCATTCTTAACTTTTACATAAGGGTCACACACATGGTCTGCCTATTAATTCTTCTTAAAGGCAGAAGTGCTCTTCAGGAAACTGCCCGTCTGTGACAGGTGTATACCTAGAGGCCAGGTGTGGTGCCTGGGATGGACGCACACACTCCAAAATGCATTAACTTTCTGGATACTGGCTTCTTTAGTGACTTTCTTGTGCTGTGCTGCATGTGGGGGTTATAAACCCTTAGCAGGTGTGGTTTGCAGGGTCAGCGGGCTGAGCGGGAATGTGCAGAGCCCACAGGGCCTGTGTGCATATGTAAGAAGCTGGCAGAGTGCTCCATGTTTCAGGCCTGCTATGAGAGAGGCAAGGAAGTCAGCGTCGTGCCCAAAACATCAGCTTCCACTGACTCCCCCTGGATGGGTCTCGCAAAGTATGCCTGGTCTGGGTGAGTTTAAACAATGTGCCTCCAGGTTTTGACTGTGTTCGTCTTCCCAGGCACCGGTGGGGCTAACAGTCTTGGACTGCCTTGTAGGTATGTGATTGAATGTCCAAACTGTGGTGTGGTGTATCGGAGCCGGCAGTACTGGTTCGGAAACCAAGACCCTGTGGATACAGTAGTGCGGACAGAGATTGTGCACGTGTGGCCTGGGGTAAGAACACTTTTTCTCTCTTCTTTCTCTTATATTGTTCAGTGATTTGTGTATGTGGAAAAGTGGAACTGATTTAAAATTAACTATGAATTTTAATTTATTAGTGCTTTAGGTAGGAATGATTGTTTGTGTTTTAGACTTTTGTTTTCATTTCTTCTTGCAGAAATATTAGAAGCACAGCTTTATATCAGTTGTACTGCATTGGCAAGTAAAACTTCATTTTTTCATGTGCTCCACATCTTCCATAGTCACATGAATTGAGTAAAAGTTTACAGGGCAGATCATCAGTTTTACATTCAACAAATCATACATCTTGTTTCATTACAATGATTATAATCCCCTCCATGTACCATCAGTTAACAGTATTTTAGCTTTTTAAAAACAAACAAACAACCCACTCAGGCATATATAATAGTTTACACCACCAAAGGGCACATTCTACAAGCCTGCCTTCTGGCCGCCAGCTCTCAGTCCCTCTCTTCCCATGAATCTGAGTCCTCAGCTGCTCTCTCTCTCCATGTCCCCATCTCTGCCTCCATCTCTGGTGTCCCTGTTTCTCAGGATAAGGTCTCACATTCCGCTGTGCTCTTCTCCCGTGATGGTCCTTTGTTTCTGGACTATAAGATTAACTACTCCCCATTTTTTTTTAAAAACATTTTAATTGTCAATTATGTGATAGCTTACATGGAAGAACATTAGCTGTACATTCATCCTATCGTATTTCATTTTATTGCAATGATTATAATCCCCTCCATGCGTGGTGGTTATGAATCGGGCTGTGAACCTTAAGGTCAGCAGTTCAAAACTACCAGCTGTTCTGCGGGAATTCCGTGGGAGAAAGATGAGGCTTCCTGCTCCTATAAAGATTTATAGCCTCAGAAACTCTGTACAGGGTCACTATGAGTCAGAACTGACTCCACGGCACATAAACGCCACCATATATCATCAAACAACCTGTCACATACAATTTTTTTAAAAAAAGGTTTTATTGTGAATTATGTGATAGTTTACATGAGAGAGCATTGGCTTTACATTCATCCCATCATATGTCGTTTCATTGCCATGGTTACAATCCCCTCACATATATTTTTGTAGATACAATTATAGTTTACATGCCGTGTTTTACTTCCACATATCTTCTCTGTCTCATCGTTTCATTTCTAGTGGCAGGCTAGCTAGAACTAGAGCTCGTGCTACAGTGGGATTCCATGTCCTTCGTTTTGGACACTACGCCGTTTATGCTTTTTCAAACAAAGTGCTACAGTGACCCATCTTCATATAGAACAAAGCTTCTCTTTGTTTTGTTTTGTTTTCTCAAAATATCTCTTAAAAATCAGGCTATCGTTCCTTAATACTTGTTTTTTAAATTAAACTTTTGAATTAAAGATGTCATAAAAACAAATCTCATGAGGCCGTGATTTGGTGCCCTCATTCTGAATTCCATTATTCACAGTTGGAATTACCAATAAATCACAACAAACCTAGAACCTAGTTTCCTCTGGGAGAAAAGATGAGCAATTTAAATTGTCTCAAAGAGAGCTATTTTGCTTTTGAGTTGGTCCCCTTGTTGGGTGATTCCATTTTTACCTTGGTGCCTTCCTGTGCCATACAACTACCAGAAAACTGAAGATTTCTTCCTCTTCTGTATTCCTTTTCTTTCCAGTTGAATAGCCAGGCTCACCAGAATTTGTCAGTATGATGTGATCTCATTTCTGGATCCCACCCCCGTGGCATGATGGTCCAGGGGCCATCCTAGTTCAAGGATTTAATGTGGCTTTGAATTAGTGTAACTTTCTCACTAGGCTGCTGTGATCAGTACCTGTTATCTTTGGATCCGAATTACTTTCTCTGTAAGCTGTCATGTCTATGGTGGTGGTGATGTGCCACGGAGTTGGAACCGACTCATAGCGACCTTGTACATGGTTTCGGAGGCTGTAAATCTTTACAGGATCAGAAAGCCTCCTCTTTCTCCCACGTAGGGATGGTGGGCTCAAATCACCTATTTGTGGTTTGCTGTCCAGTGCTAACCCTACAGAGTCACTGCACTCTCCTCCTCACTGTTGTTGTTGTTGTTATGTGCCGTGGAGTCGTTTCTTGTACAGGGTTTCTGAGGCTGTAAGTCTTTACGGGAGCAGAAAGCCTCATCTTTCTCCCACGGAACAGCTGGTAATTTTGAACTGCTGATCTTAAGGCTCACAGCCCGATTCGTAGCCACTACGCTACCAGAGCTCCTTATGTCTATGGTAAGGTAAGGTATGGTAGGGTAAGCTATCCAGGAAAGATAGTCATTCCCTAGTTTATATTTTGGCTGCACTCCACAGAGTTCCTGGATTTAGAGAAATAGACTCCTCCCTTCTTGTCCACTCATTCATTCTTTCAACTCACATCTTTGAGTACTATGTACCCAGAACTGCACTAGATACTGTACAAAAATTAAAAATAGGTTGTTCTCGGAGTCCACAGTCTAGTGGAGAGTCAGATACATAAAAAGATACTTCATTTACTCATATTCCTAGAGGTCTACAAGTCTTAGAGGAACTGAGAGGAAGAGCTCCTAATTCAGCCTGGCAAAGGGGGGCTCTTCCTGGCGGAGCTGCCATCTTTACATCACTACCGTGTGTCATATACTTTCTGGGTAAAGTGGGCCTGGATTGGACAGCTGTGCTTGCAGTCTTGTGATCACCTCTGAAAACAGTAAACCAGCAATGACTAGCTGGGTACTATTGCCTGGAAGCCAGGATTCCTGTTGTGTTCCTAGTCTTTTTGACCTTGGGGCGTATGGTTCTGAGTTGGCCATTGTGAGTGTGCAACTCACCAGAGTCTTCTGCCTCCTTCCTTTCACTCAGAGCATTTTCATTTCAGACCGATGGATTTCTGAAGGACAACAATAATGCTGCCCAGCGCCTGTTGGACGGCATGAACTTCATGGCTCAGTCGGTGTCCGAGCTTAGCCTTGGGCCCACCAAGGCTGTGACTTCGTGGCTGACAGACCAGATTGCTCCAGCCTACTGGAGGCCCAACTCCCAGATTCTGGTATGACGTGACAGGATGCCCGTGACATCTTTGGTCTGACCCACCCTGCTTGTGTCGCTTCGCCCTGGTGCTACCCTTGTTCTGTGTGGGAGAGCAGAATTTTCCCTAGTAAATCTGGCTTCCAGATGATGGCAAAGGTGGGAGACACTGAAGCAGCCAGTTTCCTCTATGCCCACCATTTCCCCTTTGTGTTATTATTCTGAGAGCCCAGGAATACTGGTCAGATGCCTGGGATCACAAGGCCTTGTGTAAGAGAAGGGACCTTTGAAGGTCTTTGAGACTCACCCTTGGCCTGGTACATGAATCTCCTCTGGAGTAGCCACAGTCAGGGCGCACCCCACTGTGGCCTCAGTACTCTGTGGCAGGAAAGTGGCTTCTCAGCCTTCTTTTCCAGTCTTGGATAACTCTTATTATTAGAAAGTTTTTTCCCCTTATTTAAGACCTGAAACCTCTGTCCCTTAGTTTCTAGTTATTGCTGCACTAGAATATCAGCCTTCAGTTGAAAACTCCTTTAGGACTCTTTGAAAGAGCCCTGAAAAAAAAAAAAAAGAATTCTTGTTGCTCTTCTGGCTAGAACTAGCACAGCCCCTTCTGGGAACCTTCTGACTCAACCTGTGCTTGAGAATAGATTTGAGGTGCCCACCTGGGCACTTGGAGGATAAAAAGACCACCACAGCTGTGCTTCACTGGGGCACTGCATGTTTCTAGAGACCTTAGGCTCCCTCTGTTAGGCTTGTCAGGGTCCTGCATTGCTCGGTGGTCCCATGGTCTCCCTCCCGCATGATCTTGCTAACTTTCTCAGCTGAGCAGACGTGAATGATAACCTGCCTCTGTTTTGTTTTGGGACAGAGTTGCAGCAAGTGTGCGACATCATTTAAAGATAATGACACAAAGCATCACTGTCGGGCCTGTGGGGAGGGCTTCTGTGACAGCTGTTCATCCAAGACCCGGCCAGTGCCCGAGCGAGGCTGGGGCCCTGCACCAGTGCGTGTGTGTGACAGCTGCTACGAAGCTAGGAATGTCCAGTTCGGTAACGTGGGGCCCGTGAACTGCATGGGTGGAGGGCGAGAGCCTGGCTCCTTGGCACTGGGTGTTGGGAACTGGACTCCCAATGGCCTCAACCCTGTCCCCAATCACATCATTCTTCTGAGAGTAGTGGCCCCCCTGGTCATGGCCAGCCATTGTCTAAGCTCTCTGAGTCCTGTGGACCCTTTTTTTAGGGGGTTGAACTGGTCCTGCTCTGAGTGAAGGAAACAGACAGCAGTATTTCCAGAGATGCTTAAACTGAGTTTTCTTCCTGGAGAAGGTTCTAGGTCAGTGCTTCCAGGACTTAACATTTTATAAAAGAGCTGCTTCAGTGGGTTGTAAGTCATGTCATGTCAGAGTCTGGGCCCATGCTTCCTACCCAGATATGTGTGGAGATCATGTACTCACATGCAGGACAGTACCCAGGGAGAAAATCCATATGTGCTCTGCTGGTTGTGCTTTGAGCTTTTGTGTCTATTGGGAAATGATGGCGATGTGACGGTTTTGTCTTTCTCACTTGTCTATAGCTGTTGCTGAGGCACAAGCGGATGATGAAGGGGGAACACTGATTGCTCGGAAGGTGGGCGAGGCCGTGCAGAACACTCTGGGAGCCGTGGTGACAGCCATTGACATACCACTAGGTGGGCCTGGCAGTGCCTGCTTCTGGCCGTAGAGATGTGGGAAGAGGGATCTGGGTCTTTCCGGGGCTATCATTCTGTCAGTGACTTGCTGACCTAAACCAAGTTGGCCAGCAAGGAACCAATTATAAATTTGCACTTGCTTCTGCTGAATACCTTGTTGTTGTTGTTAAGTGCCGTTTAGTTGGTTCCGACCCATAGCGACCCTGTGTAGGGTTTCCAAAGAGTGGCTGGTGAGCTTGAAGTGCTGACCTTGTAGTTGAAACTGGCTTTGCTATCCAGAGCGTTAATGCACAGCGCCACACCAGGACTCCGCTGAATACCTTAGTTGTTAAGTGCTGTCAGGGACCATGTATAGGGTTTCTGAGAACAGCTGGTGGGTTTGAGCCACTGACCTTTGGTGCCCAGTCCAGTGAGGATCCTATAGTGTGGGTCTATGATGTTTTGAGCTTTATTCTTAGAGACCATCCTAAACCACCATTTTTTCATGTATATGAAAGTCAGGAAGACAGAGGCACTGAGATAATAATAAATTGAGTAATTTATTCTTCCCCAAATGGCATTGCCTGGAGTTCTACATGCTAGTTTAGTATGGCAGCCGGGTTGATCTTGAGGGCTGCCTCACTTATATTCTGGGTGCCCAGCCCAGCCGGATGGAAGGGTGGACCTAGCAGAGCCCACTTCTCCATATATTCTCTGGGCTCCTGCACAGGGCGTCTCCTGTGGCAGCTGGACCGTCTTACATACTTCTTCCAAGAGCTAGTGTCCAAGAGACAGGAAGTAGAAGTGGTTAGTCTCTTAAGGCCTGGGCCAGAAACCAGCAGAGTCACTTCTAGTCTACTGCAGCCCCTGAGCCTCTGTGGACTCTGGGAGGGAACAGAGTGGAATTTGTGGCTCGCTTTAATCGGCTACACCAGCCATGCTGTCATTAAGATTTTAGGCTAGCTACACAGCTCTGCACAGTGATAGGGTACTTGTAGCCAGGTTGTGGGGAGGGGTGGAAGACCTGGAGTAGTTGGGCCCTTTGTGGACTCCAGGGTGGGTGGAGATGAAAACATCTTGGATCTGATTCTGTCATTGTAGCTCTCAAAATGAGCAGATGAGCTGTTGACTCAAGGGTGTAGGAATAAAGGCTTAAAGCTTAGGATGTAACTAGGAAGGGCAAGGGCTGCCCTTGGCATGGGTAGCCTGCCAACTGGTGCTCACCAAGTACGGCACTTAATTTCCTGAACACTCACCAGGTGTCACGGCCCAGCCAGTGCACTGCAGATAGTATTTCTTGTCGTCCTCTTAGGAGCTCTCAAAGCTGAGTTGTTACAGGCAAGTAAGCCAAGACCCTGAGAAGTTAAGTGACCTCTCCTCATCCCACGCTTGTAAAGGATCTCATACTCAGTGGCACTGGGGTTTGCCATGAAGGTCTGACTGACCCCAGGATTCTGGATTCTTTTGTGCTTACTCTAGTGGTTCTTCAGGACCCCATGGAGCACTTAGCAGCATTAGGAATAGCAATGCTTGGGCCCCAGCCCTGAAATCCTCATCTGGGTCGGATGAGGTGAAAGCTGGGTGGATGCATGTCATTTTAAAGTGCTATCAGTGGTTCTCTCCAGTAGGTTTTGAGAACCGGTGGAGTACCTGCAGATGCCACTTGCAGGGTGTTGGGCTTTATGCCTTGTTATTGCCTCCCTGCTGCAGGTCTGGTAAAGGATGCGGCCAGGCCAGCGTACTGGGTCCCCGACCACGAGATCCTGCACTGCCACAGCTGCCGGAAGGAGTTCAGCATCAAGCTTTCCAAGCACCACTGCCGGGCCTGTGGACAGGGCTTCTGTGACGAGTGCTCTCATGACCGCAGGGCTGTCCCCTCTCGTGGCTGGGACCATCCTGTCCGAGTCTGCTTTAACTGCAATAAAAAGCCTGGTGACCTATAACCCCAGCTCCCTCTCCAAGTCCTTAGGTTCTCAGGGTTAGAAACAGAAACCCCGTTGGGGTAGGTCCTCCTCCTGGTGAGTGCTCTCCCCTGTTGGATCAGGGCCACTTTCTCTTTGAGAGGGTGGGGCAGATGGCAAACCAGGGTGAGCCTGGTGACTGGCCTGGAGGTGTGAAGCCCTCAGGTTGGGGTACCGAGCATTTCAAAGCAAAGGGGAATGAACCTGAATCCGTTGCATTGATTTCAGTTTAAAACAATATAAATCTATCTACCTGTCTAAACATACGAAAGGAACTTGCAGTGTAAGCAGGCTGCCGTTGGCTGCTGAGACATCCCACAGCCTGTACCCAGAACTCTCGTAGGCCGCCAGTGGCACAGGGCTTCCCCTCAGAACCGACCGAGTCAGGTCCAAAGTCACTGCATTGCTAGTCACCTTTGCTGCTCCTTCCCTTTTCCCGTGGTGACTCACAGGAGTCGTATCCTAAGCCGGTTTGTGAAAGACCACCCGAAAGATGAGGCTTTCTGCTCCCATAAAGATTTACAGCCTCAGGGTCGCTAGGAGTTAGTTGCCTTCACAACACATCACCACCACCACCACCCAACCTAATATACAGCAAGTCACCCGAGTGGGTGGAAGGCGTGGGGTAGGGTCCTTGCCCTGTGCAGAGGAAATGCAGGTGATGTGATGGCCCCTCCTCACCTCCATGCCTCGGGAGAGCACCGGAGGAATGGGCCTTCCCCCACAGTGGTTCCTGCTTGTTGCTGTTTCTGTGTGCCTGCCACCAGGCTTTCCTAAAAGGTGGGCACCCTGCTTCTAAATTCCAGCACCTGCCACCCTCCCCTCTCCAGCCTCATCAATCTGCTTCTGAGTGTCACACTAGGATTTTTACTGCTTACTTTAAAGTGTCTTAATTCTTTGTTCCCAGACACACGACGCCTCTAGGTATTATTGGAGGGGTGATTGTGAGAAATCTTCTAGGGAAACAGAGCACAGAATGGACTGTTAGTTTTTTGTTTTTTTTTTAAGTATATAATTCAACAGATTAAAAAAAAATCTCTTCAGTCCTTGCAAGAGAAGTCAAATGAACTTCTGTATCTCAGCAAGAGATTGGACATCGTATCTGTTGTGACTGGAAAGAGAACGTTGTGCTGAAATCCTGTCATCATGGTGGATTTTATCTTCAATGGCCAAATAATCCCGAAGAATCATAAGCAACATAGTTCTTGACTGAACTGGATGGGCGGGTCGAACTTTCAGGAAGTTGGTGGTGGTCACTGGTGTGGTATCAGTGTAATTGGGAGCCCGCGATAGTGTGGGTTCTTAGATCTGCTTCCTTACTGCCTTCTGTGGCCTAGACTGAGGCCCTGCTCTAGAAGTGTGTATTATCAAATTCACCATTATAAAGGAATCTTCCTGCCAAATATGGACTGTGCTTTCTCCTCTAACTCCCATCAGTAACCCGGCTCACTCTGTCCTTCTAGTGGATGGGAAAGTAGCTGGTGGCCTTCAGAACAAAAGGCAAATGCCATACCTGTAAATACCTCAGTATATAACCAAGGATTGAAAAACAAAAGTCTTAACCAAGTACCACCAAAATCAGCATCATATGGGGCTGATTTTTGATTGTATGACAACAGGGCATTTCCTCTCAGCTTTCAGAGAGCATACCCCAGATCGGTTTGCTCACAGGGCCAGGTCTTTGTGATTGTTGTGGGTGGTTTTTCATGTAGTGTGTAAAGACAGCTGATGGTCACAGACTCCGTCATGAGTGGACAGAGGACTCTGCAAGGCCCCATTTAAACCCTGCTGTTTTCATCAGACCATCCCAAAACAAGGGGTGGGGACTGGATGATTGTGGGCTGAGGTGTGGGTGGCAGCATGGCAGAGCTTTGCTGGCCTGAGTACAGAAGCAGTGGATGAGCACCCTGGGCCCTCAGGCTTTCACTTGGGTAGCTAGTCTATCATCCATGGGTAGAATCTTCCTTCTCAGACCAGACTAGGTATTAATCCTGATTTTTAATTTCTGCATTTACAATACATAATATGACCTATGGAAACATTTACACTGTTTGTCCCTCTTCTTTGCTTTCCTCTCTTTGTCCCCTCACCTTGTCTGCACAGCTCCTGTGCCTATTCTCTTGTGGTCACAGGCACACTTGTCTTTGTGTCCTTTGCCGTCTTCCTTTCCTCATTTCCCTCATCTTTGTTTTTTGCCTGACTCCTTTTTGGGAGGGTTTGTCACTGCACAGGGCTCCCCTGAGCATGTGTTTGCCCAATGGCATGGCAGTGACTTTTCTAGCACACCAGTATCCCAGGCTAAGGCTTTCTTCTCACAGCCTTAAAGCACAAAACCGCAATCTCCAACTAAGTTTCTTTCTTCATCTGATATAACCGACCCAGCCTAAAACCAAGCTACACACAGCCACTGTACCTATACCTTTCAGCTTCATTGACTCAAACGGGACACCATGTAACTGACCAGCACCCAGACAGAACATGACTGCATTCCACAACTCTTGGTCCCTCTGCCCATGAACCGAACTCTAACAGCAGATTAATGCCCTGTGTGTGTGTGCACGCGCACACAACCTTATGCTACATGGAGACTCGCGTGTAGCTGGATCCCTCCAGTCTAATGTCACACAGGCCCCTGAGAGCCCAGCACTAGAAATTACAGCTGAAGAACCAGGTGTTTTCTAAGCAGTGGACCCAGTGGGATCCTTACTGTGTTGGCTTTGACTTCTCTGGGATCTGGCAGACAATCCCTGTTGAGGAGCCTGGTGATGTATCAGGTTGATGGCTAATCCACACGATGGTAGGGTAGGTGGGTAGGTAAGGGGTGGTGGTCACACTTTAGGGGTGAAAACACTGGCTTGGGGGTTTCTAAGGCACAGGGTCCTCTGGAAAATGAGACTTAAATGTGTCTGCTGGCTCCAGAGTGAGGGAGCCTGTCCTGACCTCGATTGCACTAGGCCACCATTCTCTGCCGTCCTAACAAGGGCTGTGAATTCTGCATTTCCAGACAAGGGCAGTATCTTCTCTTTGAAAGCAAATCTTAAGGTACCTGCTGGTGGCACAGTAGTTAAGTGCTTGGTAGTTTGAGTTCACCTGGTGACTCTGAGAGAAAGATCGGACCATCTCTTAGAAAGATTACAGCCTAGAGAAAACCCTATGGGGCAGTTCTACCGTGTCACAGGGTTGAAACTGATGGTATCAGAGCAGTACAACTATTGTGTCATCATGTTTGTAATCCTTCGATAGTCTCAAGGTAAAGGACGGTGATACTGCTCTTTGACTAAAAAGGGAAGCTGGTTTAAAGATGCATCCAATTAGTCTAGCCTGTAACACAACAGCTAAGCTTCCAATTGTTAACTTCTGATTTAATGGCAATTTTGCGTCCACGTCTGCATTTTCAATTTCAGAGCTTCCCTAATTAAGGGGCAGGATACTGAACTGGTGAAGCACCCTGGAGCCAGCAGCAGTGAGGAGCTGAAGGGACCAATGCAGAGAACAGGTTTCCGGAGCTCGAGACAGTTCTTCTGCCCACATGGCAACCGTAGTCCTGGTTGGCACTGGACTGCAGGGTCAGTTTGAACTACGAGGTCAGTGGTTCAAACTCTTCAGTTGCTTCTTGGAAACCCTCGACAGGGTCATAGCTACTAAAGCTGGTCTCAGTGTCACTGAAGACTTGAACCAACATTCCTGAAACTGGTTTGCTGCTACAACATCCCAAGCGTGACCTCTTAAATCCACTACAGCCAACACACCACAGTTCTTGTTTAGGGTTTGATTAAAAAATCAGGCTCTATCAAAATGTGTATGTACATTTCACAAACTCTTACCCTAGATTATACAACATCAAAGCCAATTTTCTGACATTAGGCCCCTGAATCCCATTTATAGCACCATAGTTGAAAGAGGAGCTGCTGTACTGAACATTCTGGATGGTGCTTGTCTTAGCCTGGGTTCTCTAGAGAAGCAAAACCAGTGAAGCTTACATGTGTGTATACTGAGAGGTGGATCAAAGCTCACACAGTTGAGAGGCGCTCAGTCCCAAGTCCGTGGGTCAGATGTCAGGCTGGCAGGCCCAGCAGGTAAGAAGGCAGGCTGCTCACGACTTCCAGGACTTAGCAGGTAATAGGCCACTTGCTTAAGTCTGAAGAACCGGGGGACGGAGGACAAGCCAGATGCAGGATCCAGACCCAGCAGAGAGCAAGCAAGCTTTGCCTAAGTGACCCATGTATTGAAGTGGGAAACAATTGGTTGGCTGCTCACAGCTGACTTCATTGTAGAGTTGATTGCATTCTATTAGATCTCATTATGGGGGTATGGGGGATAACTACACTTCACCTGCCAAGCCCGAGAATCCTGGTCCAGTTGACATAAAACCGTAACAACAAAGGCATGTGAAAAACTGCTTAAGACTTGGTAACAGAAAGATTTATCTTTATTCCCAATGCCTAGAGTGAGACTAACAGGAGAATCCCAGCCATCTCTGGTATTGATATTGAGCGAGCTTATTCAGGAAGGTCAAGTTTAATGTACTCTGTACTGCAGAGCTTCAGAGAAATGATTCCCACTTCCTATTCTATCCAAATGGCTTTCTCAAAGATGTGGGTCTTCCTGGGTCTAAACTAACATATCCCAGCCAGACTCCTTATTGGGCTTCTCAAAACAATGTTAGTGAAAGAAGAGGCATTTTACTTTCCACCAAGGTCTTTAGTTAAATGTGTGGGAAGGCTATTCAACACAAATTAGGAACCTTTTATGAAAAGGACTTAAGACTCTCTGAGCCCATAATTTACTGAAAATTACTGAAGTGTGTCTACATAAAACACAACACCATTCGTTACCCCTGCAGCTGGAAAGTCGGGATCTCTGTACACTGAGCATCGTTTCAAATGTCTTTGCTAAAGAGCAAGCAGCAGTTACGGCTCTTCACTTGGGGAGGCTGCCCTCTGCAGAATCAATTGTAGGAAAAACAGTAGAGGTCCTGCCGGACGGCCATAAGCAGGCCTGGCCCTCCCAGGACGCCCCCGAGCCGAGAAGAGAAGGCCACACTGGGGATGTCCTCCCTGGAGGCGGGGTAAGGGGAGGGGATGGTTCTGAGCAGGTGGGCGTCACGGAGGCTCCAGATTCTCGTGTAGCAGTCCTGGCCCACTAAGCAAGAGAATGCAAAGGAACACTATGTACGAGAGCACATGGCTTCTCAGGTTCATAAGTGCTAGAGATGATTTTATGGGTACTAAACCAGAATTCCCTGGTGGAAATAATTTCTAGTGATAATACAGTTTTGAGACTTCTGAGTTGCCTTGTGCTCTAGGACCATAACCAGTTGTAGGAATTCTAAGTGCTAAGATGCAGTGGCCAGTTATGACAACTTGGCTCAAACCGCAGTCATCATGGCTGACAGATGAAGGATTCTGCTGCCCTGGGTGTCAAGAACTATCCGAGAGAGCTAGGCCTAGATAATATGTAACTGATTTCCAGAAGCAACACTTGTATACTCAGAGTTCTCTTCATGTCACTTAGGGCTTAAAGCTTGGGTTGTGGGAGTACGGGCACAGAACACATGAGGAGGCTTTGAAAATTTGTGGGAAACTTTCATTCCGTTTTCCACAAGCTTTTTGAAGCCCCCTTGAGTGTGATTGGAGAGCTCTGTAGGGAAAGAGGGCAGACCTTTGGTGCTTGTGGATTTCACATGAGTGCTTTGGACCACTATGTGGCTCCAAGACCACTGCACTGAAGGAGGGGCGACCTCCACAAAGTTGAATTCAGGTACAGTTCTCTGAGGGTACTGCAGCTAGGGACCACTCTGCACTGGCCTCTCATGCCTTAGCTCTGCTCTATTATCCAGCACACAGAAGCTCTTCTGAGGTAAACCCTTGTGGAAAATATTCTTCAGAATTCTAACAGTGATGCTTCTTAGCCAGTAAAAAATTTCATGGGAGATAAGTACATTCTGTAGGAGTAGTTGGAAATTTGAGTATTCAGGAAGACTGAGAACATAATCCTTAATTCATGAATGATCTTCCATGTTATCAGGGTATACTATATCCCAGAAGCACAATCTATCATTGACTTACAACGCCCTACAAGGAGTTTAGCTATTAGAAAGCTCTCCTACTCTACAGGCCCTCCCTGGAGCCACAGGGATGGAGTCCATCTGAGGAACCTGAAGCTACTTTATAATAATCTTAATTTCTTTTCTCAGCACTCCCTGGTGGAAGTGGGAATAGAAAAACAGGAAGCTTATTTTTAGACAGGACATTGCATGATGAGATAAGGGTTACAGTGAATGCTGACCCAAAACCTTGATCCCCAGGGTCCTGTTTTATTTCCCCCAACTCTTGTCCCTTTCTGAGGTGGTGTTAATCCACTAGCGTGAACAAAGGGCTATCCGGCTTGTGGATATTTAAACTGTTACTCCCTAATATCCAATCTGTTTTCCTTCTGGTACCCTGTTCCCATCTGTTAACATTCCCTTCCTTTCTAATTTTTGAGCAGCTGACTTCTCCCTTTCCTCCTGGAGATTCTTCCATTTAGGGGCCCTCAGGGACAGTACTGGATGGGGTGGCATTGTCCCTTCCCCAGTTACCTGCCATCACGAATCCTTCTTCCTCATGCACGTGCAGGGGCAGGTAGGCATATTCATTCACGTGACCATCAAACTGCCTTAAACATTTCATGGTCCTCAGGTCCCACAGCTTGATCTATGGAAGTATAAGGGGTTGTTAGAGAGGGCCCAGCTTGCAGATGGTGAGGCCAAGATGGCGGAAGCCAGGAAGGGAAAGGTGATTTATGAAGGTCTCAGGCCCGTTCTGCTCACTGTGGCCAGCACAGGAGAGCCCTGAAAGTCTTCACTGTGCCTCAGCTCCAGACACCTGTTTGGTGTCTTGCTGCAAGGGTCCCTTCTGCATTAGCTCTACACTGGGCAGAAGGCTGGGCCTCAAAGTCCTAGGATTTCTGTGCTACCCCCACCTTTCCAGCCATGTCCGATGCTATCAGACACTGTTCTTCTCGGAGGATCTGCAGAGAGGTCACTGCTGAGTCATGGGACAAGCTGAGTGTCTTCCAGCCCTTGCCCCGACTTTGAGAACGCAGATCAATGGCAAAGATCTCCCCGGAACGACAGCCATTAAACAGCAAAGGAGCCTGTGGAAAGAGGGACTGCTGTCACCTCCCTGATCTCAGTCCTTTAGAAAGTGTGGGTAGAGATGAGTTAGGGCTTGGGTCTCAGTGGAATTGGAAGGGAAGAAGAGTTCCCATGATCGGGCAAGAGGACGAGTCCATGTATCTTTCTTGTGGGAGATCCTACAAGCTGCTGTACTGCCCACTTAAGCCCCTCATGTATCCCCCAAGGTCATCTGTGAGGAGCTGGGAGGATGAGTATGGAACAGGTGAGATGAAAGATCCCAGTGAAGACATGGCGTCCAAACAGGAAAGCCAGTGAGGAAGCCTGAATGAAATTTCTGCTTACTGCCCAAGACAGGTCAGCAGACTCCCTCCTTTATCAGGAAGACGTTTAGACATTTAAAGAAAGATGTCATTTTTCTAGTGGGCAAGTCTCCAAAATGCAGAATTTTGATTTATAGATTAAGACAATGAGCAACTTGAAAGTTGTGGATTAAGCTATGCACTGGGATTTGTATATTTTTTCCATTATTCTGCAGGCTAATCTAAGGACCCCCAAATTGCTAGAAGTTCTCTTAAATAGGAAGTAATTCAAACTCAGCTTGTTGGTTAGTGCTTTGACTCAGTTCCAACCCATAGTTGTGTAGGGGTCTCCGAAGAGCGCCTGGTGACTTTGAACTGATGACCTTGTGGTTCAGGCTGACCTTTCAGTCCAATGCTTATCCTACAGCACCACACCAGGACTCCAAATCCAGCTTAGCCAAGCGTTTTGGGAGCAGCCCAGACAGATTCACAAACTAATCCCCTCCAAAACTCTCTTTCTCTATAAAAAGGGAGGCCAGCTAGGTGCCTTCACTCTTGGGGAACTTTGGTAACTCCCTTCCCAACCCAACCCACCAAGACAGCAAACTGCTGTGCCAGGACGTCACTGTTGGTCCTGAAGGATTGTCGGTGTCCCGTCACCACGTTGGTCAGCAGGACCTGCTGAGAGAGGCCTGAGGGAGACAGAGATCAGCCCGTGAGCCTGAGGGGGGCGCATGCTGGGTGGTGGGCTTCAGGTCTGTGAGTTCCTTGATGCTGGGGCTGGGGAGGCCGCCATGCTCACCTGTGCTGAAGCAGTTATTGGCCTGGACATTCAGGGACCACGCACAGGACCAGGCACTGGGGGTCCGGAAGCTGCAGAGCATGTCAGGCTGGTCTACTGCTAAAGGGCACAGAGAGGGCAAAGTGTGGCTGCCCGTGGCAGGGGTTCCTTCCTCGGTATCACCAGATTTGGAAAACCTCTACAAGCAGCAGCTCCAAAGGTTCTATACTCTGGGCTCCATTCTGGGTTTTGTGATTGTGGGAGACATGCAGCCAGAGGAAGAGTGACCTTCTGAGGCTTTCCTGATAGTTACTGATAGGGGGGCGGGGCAGGGTGTGTGTGAATATGATGCTATAAGCAAGTTGGTTTCAACCCCGCTCTGCAAGCAAACAAACTGTAACAATGAACAGCCAGCCAGGTAACTACCACCTAGATTAAGCAGAGTACCCCAGAAGTCCTTGTTTCGTGTGCTCCCAGCTCTCCCCACCCCTGCAAAGGTAGCCACAATCCTGACTTCTAAGGCCACACAGACTAGTTTTATAGGGAAAGTTCTGCACCCTGCTTTGCCTAAAGTTCTGCATTTGTGAAATGGAGACAATAATCTCTGGGCCTCCTGGATGAATGGGAGGAAGGGCAGACCCTCTCATTAGCCCCAAGGGAGGTGGAAGGGACAGGTGCAATCTTCACTTCACAGAGGTAAGCAGTCTACTCAGGCAGGAAGGGGGGGCTGGTGCTGCACAGGGAGGCCTAACCCTGTCTCATTGGTCTGAATACTTGGACTGACAGAAAACTTAACATCCAGAATGCCGCACGAAGGACAAGCCCCTTCAGTGGCTTAATACAGGTTTTCTGAATGGATCCATACAGGCAGCCCAAACTTTTTGGTGTCACACCATCTGCTGTAGCACAGTAACTGCTCTGGCTGCTGAAATGACCCAAAGGGCTGAAGAGGATGGGACGCATTACGGAAACACCTGTGCTCAGTGCTAATCCTGAGGCCACACGAAGCAGTCCTCCCCTGGTTGGTTCTGCAGCCAGTCCCCAACCTGCAAACTCTGAGCTGGGCTCACCCAGCCTGTATTCCTCCTTTCCTCTCTGAACCACCCTGCAGAGCTTCTGCTGTTGGCTGCAGTTCCTGGGAGGCATGGTGGCAAACGTCTACTTCTCCCAAGGAGAAGGGCCTCATACCTGGATGACTGTGGGCAAACAGTGAGGCTGGGAGCAGAGTGGCAGCTGGGAGCAGAGTGGCGCAGCCTGGAGTCTTCGCAATCCCCCGGCGGCACAGCCTGGAAAACGCTGCTAAGGACAGGCAGGGACAGACTGCCCTTGGGGAGGAAGGGTGGGCATGAATACCCTCCAGAGAATTACCCAGACACAGAGGAGGGCAGAGAACCACACCATCATGCAGATTTAACACTTTTCCATATTCTGCTTCCGAGGTTCCTTTTCACAGGGTTGTCCTCCTCAATCCAATTTTCCCTTCTTTCCTACCCAGAACAAATCACTAGTCTAAACAGGCGCATTGCTCCTAGGCCAGGTGTAACATTTTCACTACCCTTGCTGTTAAGTATCGTCAAGTCGGTTCTGACCCATAGCAACCCTATATAGTGTTACCAAGGAGCAGCTGGTGAGCTTGAACCGCTGACCTTGCAGTTCAAATAAGTCTTTGCAGTCTGATGCATTAACTACACTTGGTCGTCCATAAACAACAGAAAGTACTACGCTATCTTTTGAGAGACAATAAATGACATCCCATCTTTGACAACTGTTCTACCTACATCCTCTAGATGGGGTGTGTTGATGTGAGCAAACTGGTCACCAGAGTCCACGCTTTTGTATGGAGACACCACAGCTAAGTGCTCACTGCTGGGGGGCACTCAGGTGGTTTTTTATTTCTGTTCTGCATCTCTTTCTTGCCTCCTCTTCCCAGGTCTGGGAATGTCTCCAAGATCAACCCCCAACCAAACCAGTGCCTTGGAGTTGATTCCAACTCAGCACCTCTGAAGGACATAGCAGAATTGCCCTGGCGGGTTCCCAGGGCTGCCAATCTTTATAGAAGCCGACTGCTGTGTCTTTCTCTCAAGGAGCGGCTGGTGGATTTGAACTGCTGACCTTACTAACACAGTTACCCAAGTGCTTAACTGTTGTGCCACCAGGGATCTTTCTCTAAGGCAATGTTTCTTAGCCCACGATAGGAGTTTTATTTTACACTACAACTGAATACATACCCACAGGTACTTGAAGCAAGAGTTTCATATTTGCCCTTAGTAATGGTGAAACTGATATTTTTTTAGTCTATTTCATGAGAAACGTTGCCCAATAAGTTAATGTTAACAACAACAACAACAAGTGCAGTTTGAAAACATGTACACACATAGTGGAGTTCAGGACAACCTTCCACCACTGCTTGTTAAGTGCCGTTGAGTTGGTTCTGACTCACAGCGACACTGAGGAACCATCAACCTTGCAGTTCAAACCAACCTTGCAGTCCAGTGCTTATCCTACAGTGCCATGCCTACAGGACTCCTTCCACCACTGCAGGGAGCTGAAAACACAGGATGCAGATCTGAACAAGGTGTCATTTTTATAAAGGGTGATTCTGTGAACTGCAGAATCAGTAGGTGATGATTACTTGAAATGACCACAAGAGGGCAGGCCGATTATGCTACAATGTTATTGTGGCTAAGCGCTGTCCAGGCCAACTCAGGGACATGACCCTGATAGGGTTTCGGAGGCTGTAAATCTTTAGAGGATCAGAAAACCTCATCTTTCTCCTGTGGTGCAGCTAGCGACCACGCTCCCAAGCTACAAAAGACCATCTTTTTAAACCTAATTATATGGATTTTTAAAAATCATCTCTTTAAAGAAACACAAAAGCCCCTGTTTTAAGATGAGAAATGAGAGCAAGGGTCTGGTTTTCTCTCTGATTAAAGCCTGGCCTCTTCTCTCCTCTGATTAGACCATCGCATTAACAATCAGCTCCACTACTCACAGACCCCATGAAACAAAAGCCACAGGAAAACTTTAATTTTTGAACACACATCACTTTGTGTTTGTCTTACGTTAAGATTTGTAATCAGCTCTTGAATGGCTTGCAACTCTGGAATACAGCACTATGCACTAGGTTCTGGCCTAGCTATCATTTGTTAAGTGCCTATGATGTGCCAGCGATTGTGTGAAGTGTCCACAGACACGACTAGATGCCAATCTTATGACAACTCATGAAATGGGCACTATTTGCAGTGAGTGGTCACACAGATTTAAGAACCCATTTATTATGGAAATGAAGCCAAGGGTAGGCTAATGAACCTGTGACTCTGACAGGCAGGTCAAAGAATGTCCCCGAAGCACATGATGGACAGTGGTCCTGAGCAGTGTCATGAGGACCCCAAGGCTCCCAAGGGGAAGGCTCAGCCATCCCGACACCACACTGCGGTGCAACCAGCAAAGGAGCCCTTGATCACTCTCTGGAGACAGAGGCTGTTGCTGCTGTAAAGCGCGGTTGAGTCGGTTCCGACTCATAGTGACCCTGTATAGGGTTTCTGAGCAGTGTCTGTAGAGGCAGAGACTAGAAAGAGCCCTCAAAGATGGCTGGTCCTGGCCTAGAGCCCACACACCCATGGCCAATGCCAATGGAACTTCCTCTTTGGGCCCTGCCCTCAGACGTCTGCAGGAAGGTCCCTGCTGCGCCCCCAGGACCACTATCCCTGCTGCCTTTTAACTCTTCCCACTTTGCCCAGAAGGACTTGTGGTCCCTTCCCAGGGCCTAAGTTCGTGACTGTGTGACCTATCTATGACCCCAGAGGCCTATGCTACACCAAACATTGGTAGATAGGCAGGCTCTGGAGCAGGAAGGCCTTGGGAGCCGATCCTGGCCAATCACTTACACATGAGGTTCTCAGAATAGTGCCGGGCTCACAGACCCCACCACATCTGAGAAACAGCCATCAGGGGGACCTGACTACTATCCTGGGCTCTGGGCCCTCAGATGCTTGTGCCATCTCACAAACCTTCCAGAAGGCCCAGGTCCATATCAGGGTGTGTCTGCCCATTAAATCTGCTCACCCACCAAAAGATACAGAATATGGGAATCCAAGTGATTCAGCGAGGCCCAGCACACACAATTCACCTGGGGAGGAAGCACACAGCAAGACGGACGATTGGTTTGATTGCCAACTCACAGAGGAACAAAAAACACTGCTCTTTTGTAGAATAACTTCTAGGAATAGTGTTATGGATTGAATTGTGTACCCCAAAATATGTGTCAACTTGGCTGGGTCATCAATTTTGTGATTGGATGTAATGATCCTGTGTTTGAAAATCCTCCTCTCTATGATACTAATGAGGCAGGATGTCAGGAGTTACGTGAACCAAGCAGTGTGCAATCTACAGGATTATGCTGTGTCTTGAGTTAGTCTCTTTTGACATATAAAAGGGTTTGAGTAAGCAGAGATCAGAGGGCCCCCTACCACCAAGAATGAAGAGCCAGGAGCAGAGCTCATCCTTTGGACCCAGGGTCCCTGTGCTGAGCACCTCCTAGACCCAGCTGAAGACTGATAAGGACCTTCCCCGGCTCAAGCCCACAGTGAGAGTCCTCCCCTCAAGTAGACACCTTGAATTTGCGCTTCTAGCCTCCTCAACTGTGAGAGAATACATTTCTGTTCATCAACACCGTGGAGTTTCTGTTTCAGCAGCACTAGAGGACTAGAATGGACACAGACACACGACGTCTTTCTACGGGTCCTGCTTTTCTGAAATGGGCCCAACAGCATTCTGAATGGGGGACTTCCATGCTCTGCCATCTAGGGCCTTGAGGGAGGGAGTAATTCCCAGGCCTCAGTCCTTCATCATCAACACGCCCACAGTGACATGTCTGACACATCTCACCACCGTCTTGGGTGGGGTGCTGAATTCTCTACGATGACAGAGGGACCAGTCTAACTCTGAAGTAGGGGAACTTACATGACTTTGCCCCAAACCATTTCAGCCTGTAATCCAATTTACGGCTCATGTTCCCACCACATAGAGTCACAGGTACAGCCATTACCCCACTGCAGTTGACAGATAGCTCCCCAGACAGCAAGCTCCTTATAAAAAGGGGCTTCAAAACATTTGTGGAGAAATTCCATTATCTTTCAATTCAATTTTTCTACAAATTTTTGGAAGCCCCTCATATTTACTAGATGCCAGTGTCAGCCACCGTGTCGGTGGAGCTTGGCAGAGGACCCGTATGTCTACGGCTACACACATCCCAGAACTCTGCGTCCTGGTGTGGCCTCATTTGGATCAACTCATGCTATTCCTGAAGGGAAGGTTCTTACAACCAAGGAAAGCAGTACGGCTCCACACCGACTCCCAAATGTGTAAATTCAATGTTACTTCTAAGACAAGAAAACACCTGAGGTCCTTTTCTTCCACTGTGAATTGTAAGGAACTAGAACTCAATCTGTCCCTGGGGGGATGAGGACACCATGCCCAGCCTTCCTCAAATAGCTTTCTCCTCTACTCTGAATTTGGGCAATCACTTCTTAGTGTAGAGGAGGCTGCCAGGCTAAAGAGTGGATGAGTGTACCTTCCGGTTGGTGAAGTATAAGTTCTCATGCATTCTCACAGTGAGTGATGGGATTCGCAGAGAGCTGAGGTTGATAATGCTGTACTTGGAACCACCCGCTTTGATGTCGATGACTGTGAAGATCTGATCCCTGTTGGTATTCGCCTGGAGGAACAAAGTGAACAGCAGGTGACCTCATAGGCTGAGGCAGGCAGGCTTCCTAAGACCCTCTGACCAAGCGTCCACCTTTCTTGACCGATATGCCCCAGGCATTTTCACCAGGCCCAACTTTCCCCCTACTCCACACAGCAATCTCCGGGCAAAGCCAACAGCTGTCTGGCCTAGTGACTCAACAGTAGGGACGAGAAACACAGTGAGGGGGGCTGCAGGAAGTCTGAGGTCTGCACAGTGACCCAGAACCAGGCCTGGAAAAGTCTAAATGTTCATTCAGAGAACGGTTCAGATGAAGGAGGGGCAGCCACACGGTGACACGTGACCCTCATGAAAGCCAGGCAGCAAAGTGAGAAATGTTCATTCAGAATTGTCAAGAGAAAAACATTCTCTCTCTAGAGCCAGTGACCTGGATTCAGACTTTGAGCCTGTGAGAAAATAAATCTATTTGGTAAGTAAAAAAAAAAAGTACCAGAGAAAAGAATATATTAGAATGGAGGCTATTTTTAAGAGTTTTCTTTATTCATTTAATAAAAAACAAAACACTGCAGTAAATAATTACTCCAAAGCACAATCTCTAGATATTTCTATGTTTTATATATACTGATAAATACAACATACACGAGGCATTGGGCTGGGCAAGTTCACCTGAGAAGAATAGCTATGCTCCTGGAAGGAAGGATCATTATCAGTGACGACTCAGATCCGCCTGCCCACCACGTCAGTGCTGGACCCAGCCGGATGCAGCCTGTGGTCAAGGGGCTGCTGACTGCTTTGCAGCCCTTCCTGTCCAAGGCCTGCTACCAGTCCAACGTGGTCCTGGTCAGAGCATTTACTTCCTGGATCTCACCACAGGGCAAGGGTGGGTGGGGCATGGAGTGCCTGATGGCACCCCTAAAGTGGTGGTGGGTGGACCTGAGGGCCCTGCTGTGCAGTGAGCTGTGAGCCCCGTGGGTCTGTGGAGCAGGCAGCTGAAGGTGAAGGCGACGGCCATGAAGCTGGAGGTTTCCTCAGAGCCCTGAAGTAGCAGCCTTTTGGGAGGAGGCGGTAGCACTGTGCACACACCTGAGAGGGACAGCTGATGCTCTCAGGCATTTCAGGGCCTGCCAGGAGTAAATGGATGGAAGCTGGCAGACAATGGAGGCCTGGAGAGGCCACCACTTATCTGTCAGCTTGTGTACTGTGCTGGCTTGTGTGTTGCTGTGATTCTGGAAGCTTTGCCACTGGTATTTTATATACCAGCAGGGTCACACATGGTGGACAGGTTTCAGACATGCTTCCAAATTAAGATGGACTAGGAGGAAGGAGAGAGGGACTATTTCTGAATATTTAGTCACTGAAAACCTTATGAACAGCAGTGGAGCACTGTCAGATAGCACCAGAATATTGAATACTGAAACATGACGAACAGCACCAGAGTACTGTCATTACAAATGTCTTTTTTATTAACAACATAAAAGATGACTGTACACATGGACCTCACCAGATGGAATACACAGAAATCAAATTGACTACATCTGTGGAAAGAGACAGTGGAAAAGCATCAGTGAAACCAAGGCCAGGGGCAGACTGTGGAACAGACCATCAACAGCTCATATTCAAATTCAGACTGACACTGAAAAAAATGAAAACAAGTCTAAGCCAAAATATGACTTTGAATATATCCCACCTGAATTTAGAAATCATCTGAAGAACAGATTTGATACATTACACACTAAAGACAGAAGACCAGAAGTGTTGTGGGATGACATCAGGAATATCACACAGGAAGAAAGCAAAAAGAAGACAAGAAGGAAAATACCAAAACGGATGTCAGAAGAGACTCTGAAACTTGCTCTGCAGAATAGAGATGCTAAAGTAATGGAAGAAGTGAGGAGGTAAAAGAGCTGAATAGAAAACGTCAAAGGGCAGCATGAGACAAAAAAAGAAATATGCACAGACCTGGAGTTAGAAAACCAAAAGGGAAGAGCATGCTCAGCAGTTCCCAAGCTGAGGGAACTACAGAAAAATCCAAGCCTTGACTTGTAATATTGAAGGATTCTATGGGCAAAGCATTGAAAGATGCCAAAAACATCAAAAGAAGTTGGAAGGAATCCACAAAGTCACTGCATCAAGAAGAGATGGTAGATGTTCAACCAATTTAAGAGGTAGCATAGGCGCGAGGGCCAATTATAATGAAGGAAGAAGTCTAAGGTGCACTGAAGACATTGGCAGAGAACAAGGTTCTGGAAATTGGTGGAATTGAAATTGAAGTCTTTCAACAAACTGATGCAGTACTGGAAGCACTCACTCATTTATACAATTATATTTGAAAAACAACTCCCTGGCCAACTGATTGGAAGAGATCTGCATTTGTGCCTATTCCAAAGAGAGGTGACCTAACAGAATGTGGAAATCATTGTACAATATCATTAATATCGCATGCAAGTAAAATTTTGCTAAAGATAACTTAAAAATGGCTGCAACAGTACATTGACAGCGAACTACCAAGAGACTCAAGGTGGATTCAGAGGAGGATGTGGAATGAGGGGTATCATTGCTCATGTCAGATGGATCTTGGCTGAAAGCAGAGAATACCATAAAAATGTTTACCTGTGCTTTTTTGACTATGCAAAGGCCTTTGACTGTGTGTATCATGACAAGCAATGGACAACATGTGGAGAATGAGTATTCAGGAACACTTAATTGTGCTCATGAGGAACCTATACATAGACCAAGAAGCAGTTGTTCAAATAGAACAAGGGAACACTGAATGGTTTAAAATTACAAAAGGTTTGCCTAGGGTTATATTCTTTCAGCATACTTATTCAATCTGTATGCTGAGCAAAAAAATCAAGAAGCTGGATTATATGAAGAAAAACATGGCATCAGGATTGGAGGAAGACACCTGAGACCTGCAGATGATGCAATCTTGCTTGCTGAAAGCAAAGAGGACTTAAAATACTGATGAAAATCAAAGACCACAGCTTTCTGTATGGGTTGCACCTCAATGGAAAGAAATAAAAATCCTCATTACTGGACCAGTAAGTAACATCAAAATAAATGGAGAAAAGAATGAAGTTGTTAAAGATTTCATTTTGCTCAGATCAACTGTTAACACTCATGGAAGCAACAGTCAAGAAACTAAACAACATACTGCATTAGGCAAATCTGCTCCATAAGAGCTCTTTAAAGTGTTATACACCAAAGATGTCATTTGGAGGACTAAGGTGTGCCTGACCCAACCCATGGTATTTTCAGTTGCCTCATATGCATGCGAAAGTGGACAGCGAGTAGAGAATGGATGCATTTGAGTTATGGTGTTGGAGGAGAATATTAAAAGTGCCATGGACTGCCAAAAGAAGAAACAGATCTGTGTTGGAAGAAGCACAGCCAGAGTGCTCTTTAGAAGCCAGGATGGTCATATTTTGTCTCTTATACTTTGGACATATTATCAGGAGAAATCAGTTCCTGAAGAAAGACATCATGCTTGGTAAAATGGAGGGTCAGTGAAAAAGACAAAGACCCCCAAGGAGATAGACTGGCACAGTGGTAACAGTAATGGGTTCAAACATAGCAATGACTTTGAGGTTAGTGCAGGACTAAGCAGTGTTCCTTTCTGTAGTGCCTAAGGTCTCTAGGAGTAGGTACAGACTCAACAGCACCTAAAATCAAAAAGAACTGGATTGGAAAAACTGGATCTCTGAGGGGCAATAGGCCTTTCCCAACCCTCTGGTTCATACCAGACTGTGAGAGTCGCCCTACCTCCACCAGAGAGCTCTTAGTTGAGAAGTCTGCATACACAGCCTGTGGGAGCTGAGATATGGAATCACCACTCAGAACAGGCAGACGCCACAGTCCCCATGCAGCCTGCTGAGGCAAGTCAGCCACAACAAAATAGTCCACTGATTCAGATCAAATTGTACTCCAAATACACACGAGGGCAGCAGAAGATTGATGTGAGGCTTGTTCCCCAACAACCCATTTTGTGGAGAGCCTCTGCTACGAAACTGTCCAGGGCAAGAAGGCTCTGCATTAACCTCAAGGGTCAATTCTGCTGTTTCAGCCTCCAAGAGCACTGAGGTCACGCTCTAGGGTTAGTGTCTTCTCTTACACTCCCTGGCTTTCCATGGGTCTCCAGGAAGGACAGGGTTTGTCTGGCTGCTCATGCTCTCACGTGCCGCACCCCCACCCCCCTGAGTTCTGAGAGGTCTGGCTCCTTTTGGTTCTAGGAGATCCTTTAACTCTACCAGCATTTTTCTGGTCACTGTTGTTACGTGCTGTGGAGTTGGTTCCGACTCATAGCGACCCTGTACAGGGTTTCCGAAGCTGTAAATCTTTATGGGAGCAGAAAGCTTCATCTTTCTCCCGCGGAACAGCTGGTAGTTTCGAACTGCTGACCGATTTGTAACCACTATGCTACCAGAGAAATTGGCTGCTGGCTTCCGTTCTAATCAAAGGCACAGGAAGACTTCCTGCTCCCTGTAAATGACATCATTACTCTAGACAAAGGTCTGCAGGCCCCTCCCACTCAGGCTCTGGCTACGGAAGATGCACTGGAACTTCAAGGTTTCCTACCAAATCCTGCCCCAGTTTAGAAGAGTCCGAGCATCTTGGTTCCCTGTGCACCTTTCTGTGTGTAACACACACACTCGAGGAAACATGGCTCTGAAGTGGTTCTTAGTCAATGTGTGGCTGGGTCCAGGCTCTCATGCAAAATGACAGAGCTGAAATGGGCAAGAGGACCAGGGTCACAGCACAGTCTGCCCTATCAGCCCCTAGGATCTGTTACCAGCTAGCGAGCAGGGGCTTGTGAAAACCACAAAACCAAGATGGTATCACTTGCTTTCATGGCATTTGGCTTCTACACAGGTTAGACAGAAGCTAACACCAAGCCCACAGAGTGGCCTGGGGATGGCCACCAGGCTTCCCCCAACCAGAGGCATCTCCCTTCTACTCACCAGTATGAGGTTAAACTGGTCACTTGCCAAAGCGGACGGATCTGAGCTCTGAATATGGACCTTTCCCTTTTGCATGCAGGTCACACGCAGCTCATGAGCTAGACTGCAGGAGGGAGACAGAGAAGTGGGGAGGGCATGGACTCCAGGCCGGGACATCCATGAACAAGTCTCAGTGGGTGGTGTAGGGCAGAACCTAAGACCATGTCTCCTAGTTGGCCCTCTCTGTATTACTTCATAGCAATGGAACTAAGCAAGATCCCAAAGAATCTGAGGTTCTGGCTTTCCTAAGGGAAAACTAAAAACAAAGAAATGGGTGATCCATTCACAAAATCGAAGAAAGTTAGAGCTAGAAAGAATTGGTATTTAGAACACCCAGTAAAACTCTTTCTCTTGAGAGGCAGAGAATAAGGCCTAGAGGCATTACACTCAGGCTAAAGGGCACTTGCGTAATGAGAAGAGCCCAAGGACACAGCTACTCAATCTGCTGTCCCTTTCCCTCATCACCCGACAGCTACCTTAGCAGGTTTCAGAGTAAAGAACAGACTTTTATGTTCAAACCTCCAACTCTTTTCCTTCTCAGGAGGGAAATAAAGGAGTGGCCTGCCTTGCCTACCTAGCTGGTAAGCCCTGCATGGTCCAAGAGAGCTGTGCCTCTGTGAGCCACCTCACTCTTGAGTGTTGTTACCTCCAATGAACAAGGGGAAGCAGCAGAACACAGGGGCTAGGAGCTTGGGACTGGAGTCAGACAGATGCGGGCTTCCTAACTATATCATGGGCCAATCACTGCTCGTTTCAGAACCTCCATCTCCTTTCCCAGAAACTGGGGGGAAATGCCAACCTATCTCAGGGTTTAGTTAGAATTATGGCAGACATCCCAGGTATTTCAATAAATGTAGTACACACACATCCATTTGGTGTCCTGAGTTTGGAGACAGCTTATCAGAATGGGGATTAGGAGGAGGCAGAGACTTCATGGGAAATGGAATGGTAGGACCTTCTACTAAACCTTAAATGGCTTTATGAGTAAATACTTTGTGTGATTTCATTTCCTATCTCCCTGGCCTCTTACAGGAGTCTCCTTCCCTCACTCTAGAGGGAGGGTCATGCTCTTAGGGATGACTGTGAACTGTAGCCCAGAGATCGGGATGCACCCTCACCAAATATATCCCTGCTCTATCCTGATTGTCCTCTTGTACTAAATAAAGGGAAGAAGAAGGAGAAAAAAACCAGTTATAAGAAAACATAACGCAGCGTTGCCTTACCGGGAGTAACTGGTGTTGCTGAGAAAACCCAGCTGTCTTTTTCGTAGCAAGGATGAGGCATTAAATCCCATTCTGGCTATTTTCTAAGTTAAAACAAAAACAAAACAACAACAACAAACAAACCAAATTCAAAGCAGCTTTATTTATGTCATGAGTTAAGGGGGAGTGGAGTTCCTGTGTGGTGCTGTAGGATCAGCACTGGACTGCGAACCACCAAGTAAGCAGTTCAAACTCCTTGGAAACCCTATACGGGGTTGCTATGAGTTGAAACGGACTCAATGGCACTTAACAACAACAACAGCAAGGGGCAATGTTTTTCATTGCCCACGATGCAATGAAGAAACAGGTAATAAGATGCAGAAATTACAGGCACAGAAACCTGACAGCCTTCTCAGCAAGAAGCATATGAGAATTAGAAAGTCTGCTCATTGCCTCTGCCCATGCCACTCATCAAATTACCAGAGGAGCCGAAGCCACCAAGTTCCGGGATGGGGAAGGACACCCAGATCTCCGTCAGGCTTTCTGTTTCATCTCTGGTGACCCCCAAGGTCAGGATTTTCTATTCTGCTACCCTGATGTGCCACTGTAAGATAATGCACTGGTCTTGCAAGGTCAGTTTGAACTGCAAGGTTGGTGGTTCAAACCCACCAGCTACTCCTTGGAGGGGAGCTACGGGTTGGAACCGACTTGATGGCACTTAATAACAACAACCCTACAACCATCAAAATGCCCTGGCATGGAAACTTTTCTCCTACATTGCCTGTGGTATGCAGAAGGGACACAAGAAACCCTCACATCCAAACCACAAACCCTAACTTCCTATTTAAAATCTGCTCCTGTGTGCTGCCAAGTTGGTTCTGATTCCTATTAACCCTGTATAAAGTGTCTGAGGCTGTAAATCTTTACAGGAGCAGAAAGCTTCATCCTTCTCCTGCAGAGTGCTGGTGGGCTCAAACTGCTGACCTTGCGATTAGCAGCCCAGGGTGTAACCCACTGTCCCTGAAATTGTGTCATGCTGCTTCCCAAGCTTCCTCCCTCTTGGACAGGACAAAACGTAAGACTGACTGATGAAACTGGGAGGGCGTGAGGAGGGACTTCCTTACCAGTTCTTATTTGCTTGGCTGGGTTTAATTAAGGAAAGTCCTGATCCACTCTCTCTCTCAGTGCTCAGGATCCTAAGCATTAGGGGGTGGCCACTGGCACCTCCTTTCAGCAGCAGGTGAATGGTGCCCACCTTTTTCTGCTTCTCTTCTTCCACTAGCTGCAGTCTCTTCTTCTCCATTTCCTTCTGCTGGATGCTCTCCTTTGTGAGCGGGTTGCAGTTGTTATGCCCAGGCAGCAAGCGAAAGTAGCGCTTCTTTTCAGGATCAAAGTAATATCCTGGCAGATCTTTAGTCAAAAGAAAGAAAATTCACTTCAACAGAAAACACTGGGGAGAATGCCTGGAAACCATCTAGCGAGGAGTCTGGTGGTGTGTCCATAAACCACCTCCTCCTGCCAGCTGCCTGTGTTTTCTGAAGAGGAGGAGGAGGGTTGGCATTATCAGCCACCATCCCTGATCAACTTCAACGCTGGGGGATATGACTGGCCCCAGGGCTTCCCTTTCTGACACAACCAACTTTTTCCTCTAGTGTCTTAATTTGCTCCTACATTGTTTTCCAAACCAGGAATGGGTGGATGACACACAGGAAATGTACACATTTTGAAATAAAGAGACACTGAGAAACATATCCAAGCCCTGGCTAAGGAAAAAAGGCAGTGAGAACAGACACAAACAGAAGATGAGGCAGAAGCAGGGGAGTCCCATCCAGCACACTGCTTACCTGGCACAGAAGAACTGCCAGCTGTACTGGAAGAGGTTGACGGGGACTCGTCGTCACCGGGACCAGAATCCTGTGGGCTTTGCAGTGTCCCCGTGTTATCACTGTGGACACACAGACACATAGTAAATTTCAGAAACAGGCTGAATTCCTGGTCATTCTCTGTGAAGGTTCTGTAGTGGTCATGCTCCACCTGACACACTGATGATTGATTACTTGGATTTTCCTCGTTTCATTGAAAACAGCTTACCTCCTTTAAATACATCAAAGTTGTTGTTGTTGTTGTTAAGTGCCATTGAGTCAGTTCCGACCCATAGCAACCCTGTACAGGGTTTCCGAGGGTGTAAATCTTTACGGGAGTAGAAAGCCTCATCTTTCTCCCGCGGAGCGGCTGGTAGTTTCGAACCGCTGACCTTAAGGCTTGCAGCCCGATTCGTAACCACTATGCTACCAGAGCTCCCTACATCAAAGTCAGGGTGAGGTTTTAATTTGTTCTTTCTTTTATTTTTTTTTAGGAGAATGTTGTTATTGTTAGGTGACATCCAAATGGTTTTGACTCATAGCAGGCCTATGTACAGCAGAACGAAACACTGTGCAGTCCTGAACCATCCTTGCAATCCCTGCTGTGTTTGAACCACAGTACATTCCATATTCTTCATAAACACCGTCATTCTTCTCCAGTCTTCCCTATTCACTGTCCAGCCATCACATGCATATGAGACTACTGAAAATATCATGGCATGGGCCAGCACTTTAGCCCTTGAAGTGACAGCTTAGCTTTTTACACTTCAAGGAGGTCTTTTGCAGCAGATTTGCCCAATGCAGTATGTTGCATGTTCTCCTTTCTGCTGCTTTCATTGACGTTGACTGTAAAATGAAATCCTTGACAACTATAATACTTTCTCTATTTATCATGATGCTGCTCATAGATCCAGTTGTGAGGACTTTTAGTCTTATGTGTTGAAGTGGTAGCATAGTGGGTTACAAGTTGAGCTGCTAACTGCAAGGTAGCTGTTCAAATCTATCAGCTTTCGGAGAAAAACGAGGCTTTCTACTCTTGTAAAGATTTACAGCCTCAGAAACCCTACACAGGGTCAGTATGAGTTGGAACCGACTCCTTGGCTCACAAACCACCACCACCAATCCATGAGTGTAGTCTTTGATCTTCCTAAGTAAGTGCTTCAAGTACTCTATGCTTTTAGGAAGCAAAGTTGTGTCATCTGCATACTGCAGGTTGTTAACAACCCTTCCTACAATCCGGACGCCACATACTTCTTCATATGGTTCAGCTTCTTGGATTATTTACACAGAATACAGATTATTCCGTATGTACTGTGAAAGGATACAACCCTGACAAACACTTTTCCTGATTTTATGTACAGGTACTACAAGAGCACAATTAAGTCTTCTGGATTTCCTATCTTTTGCAATTTTCCATAATTTTTTATGATCCACACAATCCAATGCCTTTGAATAATCACTAAAACAGAGGTAAACATCTTTCTGGTCTTCTCTATTTTCAGCCAAGATTCATCTGATATCAGTAATGATATCCCTTGTTCCACATCTGACTTGAATTTCTGGAAGTTCTCTGTGTTTTGCTTCAACTATTTTTGAATCATCTTCAACAAAATTCACTTGCATGTGACATTAATGATATTGTTCAATCATTTCCACATTCTGTTGATTTGCTTTTCTTTGGAATTAGGACAAATGAGGAAATCTTCCAATCCGTTTGTGAGGTGGCTGATTTCCAAAGTTTTTGGCATAGAAGAGTGAGTGCTTCCAGTGTTGCATGTGTTTGTTGAAACACTTCAATTGGTATTCCATCAATTCATCAATTCCTGGAGTTCTATTTTCCACTGATGCCTTCAGTGCAGCTTTTTCCTTCAGTACCACTGGTACTGAATGTATAACATAGTCATTTCCTCTTATCATTCAGTGAGATCTTTTGGAATTTTCCAGATGAAAAGAACAGAAATCCCTGTCAATAAGAATTCTACCAGCAGGGCTCAGCTGTCAGCTTAAATGCAGCGACAAGGCCAGGTGAATTTCATTCTCTGTTGGATTCAGTAGCATATGTAGTTACTTGACTTGCTAAGTCAAGCGGCTTCTGTAGCAATTACAGGCAGGAGAATATAGTAATAAAGCAAAGTCTCTTCTCTTAGAATCCTGATCCAAAAGGAAAACAATTGCAAAACTAGGTGGTAGGAACAAAAGCCCTTCCTCTTTCTTCCATAATGCTAAGTGATGCATAGTTGCTTTAGAATATATGGAAATACTATTTCCACAAATACTATGATGTATTTAAAAAAAATATTCCCCCCATTTTTATGGTGCAGAGCTTCCTGAGGTGGCTGCTCTGTGATCAGCAACGGGAGGAGGAAGCTATGTCATGACTGATGTCTACGTTCCTGGGCCTAGGACTGCGGCTCCATTCTTTCTACAGGAAGCCCAAAAGGACACTGTTGAGGCGAGCTTGACTCTTCCTGCAGAGCTCTGGTGGGAAAGGCCTGGGGCCCAGAAACACAGCCATGGCACTCCTTACAAAACACACTGATCTCTTTTTACAGTCTGGGACAAATCTGAAGCTTGGGCTCACAGGCGTAGATTTTATTCTGTACCTCATCAGACCTCCTGTATGCCAAGATCTTACCAAGTAGTCTGCTAAGGGTTTTCCACACATTATTGCTAATTTACAAGGTAAGTATTAGCCTCATTTTGTACAAGAAGAAACAATGACTCAGAGTGATGAAGCAACTTGTTCAATTTCACATAAAAGGCAGTGTCAAACCCTATAGAATAGGACCTCTTTCAAAGTCCTTGTTCTTTCCACAACATGCTGATGCTTTTTGCTACTTGGGCTGGGTCAATCTATTCTAAGAGATGCAGATTGTTATTTGACATCTGCCTTGACTCTAACTAGAAATCTGTCTTTGTGAAAAGAATCTGGACTGGAGAAGTTCTGAAATTGGCATACGTATCTGTTTGGTGAGGGAGGAACACGGTTGGGCAAAGATTTCTCTGGCCACAAATCCTATCAGCAGCCTTGAACTAGAAAGAACTTGTCATCTACTGGCAGGAGATAGGGTGGACTAGAAAATAACTTGTTCCGAGAGTGTAACGTTTGTATTGTTTTCATGCAAAAAATAAGTGGAAAAAAAAAAGTGGAATATGGAAATCGTTAACTGTCTCAAACCAGCAATTATTTGTAAGTTTGCTGGACTTTGGTGGCTTGTGTGTTGCTGTTATGCTGACAGCTATGCCACTGGTATTTTAAACAGTAGTAGGGTCACCTATGATGGTAAGTTTCAGCAGAGCATCCTAACTAAGACAGAGTAGGAAGAAGAAGAGGCAAACTGCTGCTGGATGATTAAATACTGAAAGCCTAATGAACAGCAGCAGAGCAGTGTCTGATATGGTGCTGGAAAATGAACTCCTCAGGTTAGAAAGCACACAAAATACAACTGGGGAAGAGCTGCCTCCTCAAAGTAGTAATTGTTAGGTACTGTCGAGATGGTACTGACTCATAGCAACCCTATGCACAACACAATGAAACACTGGCTGGTCCTGCACCACCCTCACAATCGTTGCTATGCTTGAATCCATCGCTGCTGCTACTGCCAATCCATCTAGTTTGGGGTCTTCCTCTTTTTAGCTCCACTTTACAAAGCATGATGTCCTTCTCCAGGGACTGGTCCCTCCTGATAATATGTCCAAAGTATGAGAGATGAAGAGTGTCAACATTCTGACTTCTAAGGAACATTCTGGTTGTGCTTCTTCCAACACAGATTGGTTTGTTCTTGTGACAGTCCATGGTACTTTCCATTTTCTTCTATAAGAGCATAACTCAAATGCATTGATTCTTCTATAGTCTTTCTTATTCATTGTCTACCTTTCACATACATATGAGACAACTGAAAATACCATGGCATGGGTCAGGTGTACCATAGTCTTCAAACTGGTATCTTTGCTCTTTAATGCTTTAAAGAGTTCTTGTGCCTAATGCAAGGTGTCACTTGATTTCCTGACTGCTGCTTCCATGAGTGTTGATGGTTGATCTCAGCAAGATGATGTCTTTGACAACTTCAATCTTTTCTCCGTTTATATGGCTGTTGTTTATTGGTTCCGTGGTGAGATTTTGTCTTCTTTACATTAAGGTGCAATCCATACCACAGGCTGTGATCGTTGATCTTCATCAGTAAGTATTTAAAGTCTTCTTCACTTTCAGCAAGCAAGGTTGTATCATCTGCATATCACAGGTTATTAATGAATCTTCCTCCAATTCTGATGCCAAGCTCTTCTTCCTATTATTCAGCTTTTTGAATTATTTGCTCAGCATATAGACCGAATAAGTATGGTGAAAGAATACAATCCTGGCACATACCATTCCTAATGTTAAACTATTTAGTGTTCCCGTGTTCTCTTCGAACAACTGCCTCTTGGTCTATGTACAGGTTCCTCACAAGCACTCATTCTCAGCAATGTTGTCCATAGCTAGTCATGATCCATACAACTGAAAGCCTTTGGGTAGTCAGTCAATAAGGCACAGGTAAACATCTTTCTGGTATTCTCTGCCTTCAGCCAAGATCCATCTAATGTCAGCAATGATATTCCTTGTTCCACATCCTTTTCTGTATCCAGCTTGGACCTCTGGCGGCAGTTCCCTGCCAGTGTAATGTTGCAACAATTTTTGAAATATTTTTAGCAAATTTTTACTTGCATAGATATCGATGAGTTGATCATAATGGAGCAAACTTTCTGGGGCCTTCATTTGCTGATGGGGGACAGCTCAAAATGCAAATAGCTACAAACATCCATTAATAATCAGAATGTAGAATGTATAAAGTATGAATCTAGGGAAATTAGAAGTCATTCAACAATGAAATGGAGTGCATAACATTTGATATCCTTGGCACTAGTAAGCTGAAATGAACAGGTACTGGCCATTTTGAATTGGACCATCATGTAGTTTACTATGCCAGGATTGACAAATTGAAGAGGAATGGTGTCACATTCATTGTCAAAAAGAATATCTCAAGATCTATCTTGAAGCACAATGTTGTATGTGATAGGCTAATATCCATATACACACAGGGAAGACCAGGTAATGCTACTAATCTTCAAACTTAAGCACTAGCCACTAAAGCCAACGATGATGACATTGAATTGATAAAAAATGCAATCAAGATGCATTGAAAATTACTGGTGATAGAATACCAAAGTTGGAAACAAAGAGAAGGATCAGTAGTTGAAAAATGTGGCCTTGGTGACAGAAATGATGCTAGAGGATCACATGACAGAGCAAAATCAATGACTTATTCATTGCAAATACCCTTTTTTAACAACATAAATGGTTGACTATATATATGGATTTTGGCATCCTAGTGTGGCGCTGTGTGTAAATGTGTCAGACTATAAAGCCATTTGAACTGCAAGGTCGGCGGTTCAAGCTCACCATCTGCTCCTTGGAAACCCTATGTAGGTTCGCTATGGGTTAGAACCGACTTGACGGCACTTAACAACAACATGCATATGGACTTTACCAAATGGAATACACAGAAATCAAATTGACTATCTGCAGGAAGAGAAAGTAGAGAAGCTCAAAATCATCAACCAAAACAAGGCCAAGGGTCAACTGTGGAACAGATCATCAAGTAGTTGCTCATAAGCCAAGTTCAGATTGAAGAAAATTAAAACAAGTTCACAAGAGCCAAAATGTGACTCTGAGTATATCCTACCTGGTTTTAGAGACCATCTCAAGAATTGATTTGATGCATTAGCCATTAATGTCCAAAGGCTGGAAGAGTAATGGGATGGCATAATGAAGAAAGCAAAGGTTATTAAAAAGAAAGAAAACACCAGAGACTCTAAAACTTGTTCTTGAATGTAGAAAAGTTAATGAGGTTGGAAGAAATGATGACGTAAAAGAAATTTTCTTCTCTGAAGCTAGAGAAGCTAAAAGCTAGAGAAGACAAAGTATTATAATGGAATGTGCAAAGACCTGGTGTTAGAAAACCAAAAGGGAAGAATGCACTCAGCATTTTTCAAGCTGAAAGAATAGAAGAAAAATTCAAACCTCGGATTTGAAGGATTTTATGGGAAAAAATATCTAACGACACAGGAAGCATCAAAAAAAGATGGCAGGAATGCAGTCACGGCACCAAAAAAGAACTGATTGCTGTTCAGCTATTTCAAGAGCTAGCATATGATCAAGAACCGATGGCATTGAAGGAAGAGGTCCAAGTTGTGCTGAAAGCATTGGCGAAAAACAAGGCTCCAGGAATTGATGGAATACAAATTGAAATGTCCCAACTAACTAATGCAGCGCTGGAGGCACTCATGCATCTATGCCAAGAAATTTGGAAGACAGTTACCTAACTGATTGATTGTAAGACATCCATATTTGTGTCCATCCCAAAGAGAGGTGACCCAATGGAATGAGGAAATCATCAAACAATATCATTAATATCACAAGCAAGTAAAATTTTGCTGAAAAGAATTTAAAAAATGGTTGTAGCAGTACATTGACAAGGATCTACTAGAAATTCGTGCTGGGATCAGAAGAGGACATGGAATGAAGAACATCACTGCTGATGTTAGATGAATCTTGGCTGAAAGCAGAGAATACCAGAAAAATGTTTTACTTGTGCTTTATTGACTGTGCAAAGGCATTCAACTATGTGGATTATAACAAACTATGGGTAATGTTGTGAAGAACAGGTATTCCAGAACACCTAACTGCTCATGAGGAATCTGTACATAGACCAAGAGGCAGTCATTAGAATAGAACAATGAGATTCTCAATAGTTTAAAATCAGGAAAAGTGTGTGTCACAGTTATATACTTTCACCATATTTATTCAATCTATATGCTGAGCATATAATCCATGAAGCTGGATAATATGAAGAAGAACATGTCATCAGGATTGGAGGAAGACTCATTAACAACCTGCCGTATGCTGATAATGCAACCTTGTTTGCTGGAAGCGAAAGGATTTGGAAATACTTACTGATGGAAATCAAAGACTACAGCCTTCAGTGTGGATTGCATCTTGATATATCTTGATATAAAGAAAATGAAAATCCTCACAACTGCATCAATAAATAATACCATGATAAAAGGAGAAAAGACTGAAGTTGTCAAAGACTTCATTTTGTTTGGAACTACTATCAACACTCATGGAAGCAGCAATTCAATAAACCAAACTACATACCACATTTGGGAAATCTGTATTCAAGAACAAAAATGTCAGTTTTAAGACTAAAGTGTGCCTGACCCAACTCACGGTATTTTCATTAGCCTCAAATGCATGAGAAAGTTGAACAATGAGTTAGAAAGACTGGTAGAAGAATCAGCACTTTTTAATTATGTTGTTAGAGGGTCAGCGAAAAAGAGGAAGATCTCCAATGAGATGGACTGACACAGTGGCAGCAACAATGGGCTCAAACACGACAATAACTATGACAATGGCTCAGGACTGGGCAGTGTTTCATTCTGTTGTGTATAGTGTCACTATGAGTTGGAACCAATTTAATGGCACCTAACAACGTGAACTGTCTCAAAATGTCCCCCAGCTAAATGATCAACATCAAATTCAAGATATTGGTTCCTTCTGGGATGTGACACTGGGGGATACTGGGAACTTCGGGCAATTAAGAGGTTTCTTTCTTAATAAGGTGGGTGGTGGGTACATGCTGACTGCATTATTCTAACTTTAAATTTTATGTTAGGTATTATATCACAGACACTTTCAAATGCATATTAGAAATTACATACACACACATGCTGAGTGTGCTTGTGCATTTTTTGTACTGTTTTCCAAGACTAAGCTTGAGTTAACGAATATGTTTGCAGAAAGCTATTTTCTTTGGCTGAAAAAAGGGGAGAAATGGGGAAACAGCTCTCTCCCAGAAATCAGGACCAGTATGAAAGGAAAGACTTATGTGACCACATCCCTTTGCTACTCAAACCGTGGTCCACTGGTCCGCAGCAATGACACTACCTGGGAACTTGTTAAAATGCAGTCTCCCTGAGATCTACCTCAGACCTGCTGAATCTGAATCTGCACTTTGGTGAGATTCCCCACACATAATGACGTATGTATATGTGTGAGAAGTATCCCCACACATAACGACGTATGTATATGTGTGAGAAGTATCCACACACACAACGACGTATGTATATGTGTGAGAAGTATCCACACACACAACGACATATGTATATGTGTGAGAAGTATCCCCACACACAATGACGTATGTATATGTGTGAGAAGTATCCCCACACACAATGACTTATGTATATGTGTGAGAAGTATCCCCACACACAATGA